GCTCGTAGTTGGTGTCAGTTACTGTCCTATGTAGTGATGGAGGTGTTTTCCAATCCGCTATCAGCCCACTCCCTGTTCCCCACTTGTAAGGCCATTTTGGTAAACCGTTTGTTCCCTCTTGGGGCACGGCGAGTGAGCGTGCTTTGCGTCTTGCTCTTTGCGATACACTTTCGGATCAGACGCCTCGACATGTGTGACGTGTGTGGGCTACCACCACGGTCAACAAGCATGAGAAGCGTCATTTTGCAGTACACGCTGCAGCAGTGTCTGCTTGCTTGCGGATGTGATTAGATCGGAGGTTTGTTGTTACATTAAATAAGCTTGATGTAACGGTTTTGTCAGCAGTTGGTATTTAAGGATGAATCACGCACCTGAGATGCAGTTCACAAATTCACGCAGTCGACTGCAGTTGAACGGTGGATGGAGGTCACGGAGTGTGATTTGTGCGACCTTTGCTTTGTCCGACTGCATGGGTATGGCTCCTGCGATTGACGAGTGAATGTTTGTGGCAAGTATTGCATCCGAGCTGCAGCTCTTGGTCTCCCCATAGTTACGCGTCTGCCCCATTCGTCGTGCTGTTGCTAGGCGGCAGTCAAGGGGTATGGGCCACCTCGGATCGCTACTTCATTCAGCCTACTTGCATTTACACCACTGTTGAATGGGTCTGCATTTCGTTCACTGTAAATGGTGATAAAGGAGTTCGTTGTTCTTGGCTGGTTAGTGTGCTCGACAAAAGGAGGCGTCCAAACACGTTGCTGGTTGTGAAGTTCATTCACCATTCTGTGAAATCATTTTAATATCGATATTTGTGACCGATTTTTAAAGAGCATGCTCCATTTATTCATTGAAATCTGAACTTCTCTTGCATCACTTCTCCTGACTTCACTTGAGTATTTTCTAGAACTTTTATCGTGGCTTAGATTTTCGTCCCTAGACAACATGCTGTACGACCTTTTTGACTTGAACTGTCTCGAATTTGTGCCGTTTATCAGTATTTTGGCTGTCTCCAACTCCTTAAGTAGTCTTCATTTTTAATAGTGGGTTTCTTATTTTTGCCATATTTGCTCTGATTTCGGTGTGCTTGGTCTGTTATCAATATTTAGACTTCCCTATGCTCGCTACATTTATCTCTGGCGTACGACCTAACTTCTGGAATCCTTTGAAAGGCTGTCAAGTGGGATTTTTATCGAACTATAGGTTGAATTCGTCAATCGTACACCGCGCTTGTGTTGGGGTAAAATAGTATTGTCCAAATACAGTGGATGAGTATTGTCCAATACTTTTGCAACTTTACAAGTAACCTTACATCTTCATACCTCTAAGATTTTTTTCCTCGTTTGAAGATAAGCGAAACAGAGAATGCGACATTTCATATGCTTTACGACCTATCACACCCCCCTTGAATCAACTGTTTTTTCCCCTCCATGTGTAGGAAGTTCTACAAGAAGCAGGACAGGTTAATTGAGTCCCTACAGTCAACAATGTCCCTACTGAATGATGCAGACGGTGAGATGGAGGAGCGTAACAACATTTTGCGACACCAGAATCGAGTCAACAACTTGCTCATCAAGTTCACGTTCCTGCTTAATCTCGTGAGTCTTCATAATTTCCCTTGTAAATTGGAATTTTTTACGTGTGCATCCACATCATCCTCTTTTTCAGCTCCTTTTGAGCAGCAAAATGGCCGCATCCATCCTTTCCCATTCCCTCTCCGTAATCTCTTCTCTCATGGACAGTGCGGTCGACTTAGCCTCCGGCTTTACCCTTTGGCTTGCGGCCCACCAGATGCGCAAGTCTCTGCCCTACAGTTATCCCACAGGTGACCTCACTTCTCTGTTCTATTTAAATGGTCTTAACTTTGCGGCTCAAATATGACATTTGGAATTCTAAAAAGCAATCACTCCTACCATGGTTTCCGTTTCACTAATTGCTGCAGTTATTGGCGATCGGATAATATTTTACGTAGTACGATCTTTTCGGCAACACGGATTTAGAGTTGGTGGTGAAAGCGGAACGGATACTCGATCAAGGCTCTGACAACCCAGATGAGGATGCGTTGTTTGTAGTGTGGATGGTTTTGCCTTTCGTCCAACATTCCGCTTAGGGGATGCCCGAGTTACTTTTGTTCCCGTAATGGTTACATCATCAGCGTCATCTGTGCGGTCTCAGCCTTCTCACCTAAGCTCAACATCACAAATCCATGCCAAATGTTCTTTGTCAGGTTCCGATAACTATCGCACCATTAACGCGTGCGTAACAAAGAGGTTTGTTAGCCTTAAGTTAACGATGGTAGGAAATGGGTGTTTGTTTAGCCCAATGATAATTAAATTTTTTTTAAAATTGTGCTCAGCATAATTAGGTACAATGTCTCTTCTGAGTTCTTGACAGATGACATGTCACTTTACTTTGCCATGATTGAAAGCGAAAGACTACTCGCCTTTGTTTCGCAACGTAAAAAGTGGGACTGTTGTCCCCTCATCGCTTCGTCACAGCGGTCCAAAGGACACGTTTACCAGCATCCATTATGCAGAGAAGTTTTTTACAGTTTCTCTTTGCCAATTAGTTCTTTTAATACAAGTAATTATTCGAGACAGCTTTGCAGTGGAGAAGTTTAAATCAATTTAACGGACCCTCTAGGAAGCAATAATTTCCTCTTTATTAAGGCTATAGTGTGCCTTGAGAGCTGCATTATATTTTGGGTTTAATTGATAATCGCTGTCGGGGATTTCGCTCTCCCACCTGGTGCTCTTGCTATTAAAAGCAAATGAAAGGGTGATTCATAGACTGTATTATCTCCGTTGTTTCTATAGGTTCCTTTAGTCAAAGCATTCCGAAGGCCAGGCGCCCAGAATAACTAGCTTTGGAGTTGAATTAAGGCAAATATTACCTTTCTACCTCTAGGACGCAAACGTCTGGAGCCAGTGGCAGTGATCATCCTATCGGTAATAATGGCCAGTGTCTCAGTTCAGATAATGGTGGAGGCGGTGCAGACCATCTATAACATGGCCGCCCATAACCAGGGTCCTCCAGTCATGAGTGATCTCACAATTGGCCTTGTCGCTTCCACGATCGGTAAGTTACCTTGAACACCTTCATGCTCGTTCACAATCACCTTCCATTGTCAACTTATGCACCACCAACACCAACTGTTGCGAAATGGCATAGTATTTGTGTGCTGCCTTGTGTCAAACGGCAGAGTTACATGCACATTCGCTAGTAAATCTATCCAATCTTTCTACCGCATTGAAATGCTTTAGGAGCTTGTAGGTTGATCGAAAGTGTATGTGCCGGCTTATCTGAACTGAGTCGTTTCAGATACTTCAACTTCCTTGCCCCCAAAACCTCATTACAGTCTGCTACTTTCAACTTGGGAATTCTCCACGCGATACATTTTGCCTCTTCGAACTTAAGTACAGGTGTAGTTTCGTGCCCCTTCGGTCAGTCACCTTCCCACTGATGCTTACTTCCAGAAGACTCATATGCAAGAGTGACTTCTTACACAGTCAAATTAAGGTGTGAGAAGCGTAACTCTTAACTGAAATATCTTTAAGCTAGTGATGACAATGCACCTTTTTAATTAAGAGGAATTCAAGGTAACCTCATATTGCAGTGTTGTAAATGTAGAAGCTGCCTTTTCTGAGAAGACTGTCAAATCATACTTAGAGATTGAAGCGTTTATGCATCGGAGCGAGCAGTCTCGAATCAATTACCCGCACTTTCACCATGCAAAATCAAACTGAAAATCTTGATAACTGGTAGTCATGTAAACAATTTTTGAGTGGAAGTAAGATCAATACATTTCTGCTCAAGGTCGTTACCATGCTTGACGGAGCTCGCCTGAGGCCATATTGCGGACCTCCAGCTGACGTGCCTAATGCCGAATAGAAATCACTACTTGTTCGTGTGTTGCTACGACCTCACTCCTCTGTCATGCGGATGACCCCATTTCGATGTTTTCGCAGTCTCTAATGCAAAACCACTGTCTCTATTTTATGTTTGGCAACTGCGCCTGCATGCGTAGTCTTCGTTTACGATCACTGAGGTGGCAGCAACATTCGATCAGGAATGGGAAGTTACGAGTGCGATCTCCGGTTTCAAAACATCTATTCTTCTTCTTCATTCGCCCGTACTGGCGCTACATTTGGAAACATAATAGCATTACCTCCTTGAGGAGGCGATTGCAGCTATAATTTCTGTCCATTCGGTATCAACGGGGTCTCTCATGCCCAATTTCTACCATCTTGTTTTCCAACCAAATGTGGCCTTGAAGAAGCTTGTTGTTTGTCCTCCCTTTCTGCCATCAAAACCAACAAATTGGAATCCATAATAAACACAACTGTCCTGACTTGCCTGCAATTAATTCATGCAGCAGAGCACGGAGTGGCAAACAAATAAATTAATCGTAAGAATGGCATTTTCAGCTGCTCTCTTAATCACCTTTTTTCGTTTCACAGTGGTGAAGGTATCCCTCTTCCTGGCTTGTTGGAAATTCGGACGGGGGGAATCAGTGGCGGCTCTGAAGAACGATCAACTGAACGATTCCCTCAGCAACTCCATCGCACTTATTTTCAGTACCCTCTCCGCTCGAATCGGTACGGTCCACCTCTCGTATTCCGCCTTAAGGATGCTGCTTTCTTCCTTCTTACCAACTTAGTAGGAGCCGCATTTGGGATCGAATTGCCAATTGGATGGGTTGGAACACTGGAAGTCTTCGTTTGAGGTGCTCAAACGTATATTTAAATGATCGAATAGCCGGAAGAGCTGCACAATTCTCCTTGCGTTTTATCTCTTTAGAGCCTAATGACGTTGTAATATGTAAATTGGAATGAAAATGAGAAGATGCTACGAAACGTCGTGGTTGAGCCATTGTGGATAAGGGGTCAATTGCCCCCATTCAATTCGCACGATAATGCTCTTTTGTTCTACACTTTTTCAACAGGTGGTTTCATACTTGTAAATATAGTTAGTTCCATTTCTCCCTCTTTCCGCCTTACGAACCTCACTGTAAGTCTGGTCAAATGGAGACCTTAGAGCAGCTTTTGTTAAGAAACAATTTCATGCGGTCTTGTACTTGTACAAATCTCCCAACGAAGACTGAAGTCGAATCGGCTTGTTTTATTCTCCAAGGCAACTGTATCATTCCCTCCTCATTGTTTTCGCAGGGGAAGCGTTATCTTTCCTCTGTTGTTGGTGCTGTCTTACGATGGTTAATTACCTGGTCCAATTGGATAATTTGGCGTCCAGCTGAGTTTCATTGTTCAGGTGCTTCCACCTCTAGTATTACCATGTTGCATGGGGCTCATGGATAGATAGCAACACCGTGACATTCTTTTCTCTTCCATTATAACTACATCTGAATCGTTTTGCTCCAGGACATCAAGACACTCCGACGAGGTGTAACTGAAGGTCCACCTTTGGTTCCAGTGCCGGATAGTGAAATGTCTTCTAATAACCAGCCTCATTCCTTTCATGTGCGCTTGTCATGCATTGCAAAATCTCTCTTCCTTGGAAGCGGCATCCAGGTTATGTTCATCAAAAGAAGGGGCGTTCTGTAATCAACTTGAGTGCCTACCACCGTCGCATTTGAACGCTCACTTCACCCATATCTGACTCTAAGTTGGTTTCCTTTCTCGATTAATACTGGTGCCATTGCCATAATCTATCGTTTTATGTGTCTAGAATATGCACTATGGTTCAAGGAGTTGTGGTGTCAATGATGATGCCAACGCAGCAGAGTGAATAAATGAAATGAACTGTATACAGTTTTTTTATGAAACTGTACCTCCAATAGACCCGTTCGATGATCTACTTCCATGCTAAATAAGAATTCAAATTGTGCGTGTGATTATCCATCACTTATTTTACTCTTTACATAGCTCATGGTGACGGAAGCGGGAATGGACCCGCTTCATGATTTCGGAGGGTTTATCCGTTACTTTGGTACTGAAATTTGTGCATTGAGGCGTGCCTCTCGGAATCGCTTATGGAGAAGTAGCGCCGTTTGTAACTGCCTTACTCGGGTCCACGTCTCGCTATTGAGATACCATCCCATTTTTACTGGCATGGGGTGGGAATGTTGGACCACTCTGTAGTAGACCTTTGGGTAAAAATTTTATTGCCCCTAGGGGCGTGTTTTCGTGGCCCCTTCAGAGTTCTTTTTCGGGAACTGCAAGGCCTTATTGGCATCAATATGGCGATACCGACCAAAATCATTTAAATTATCCAACTTGTTTGGCATCATCTCGCAGTACTCACATGCGCCAAATGCAACTCAAATACGTGCTACTTGGAGATGCCTTTTTTGTTTGATTGATTTAACAATCCTTTTTACAAGGCATGGCTTCTAATTTAACCCGATTAAATTATTTCGCCTCTCTATGCTGCAGAAGGAGTGCCGTATCTGAAGTACTTAGATCCCTCTGGAGCCATCATTATCGGTGCCTACATCGTCTACAGTTGGTGGAAGATGGGTGCAGGTGAGTTGCACTTTTCCCCAGTTCAGGCTTGAATTGACATCCTTATGTTACGGTATTTAATAAGGTGGGGGTTATTGAGTAGTTTGTTGCGCATTCCAAAGAGATATTTTGCGCAGCCTAAACAGGCTTTGATGTGTCATGACTCGGTCACACACACGCACTCACGTGATCATTGTAAAGTGATTTACTCGCGTATCTTGACATCGACGGAAGAAAAGCTTGATGCACGAAATAGCATGGCACGTATTGTCATTTTTCGACATCACTTACTTTGTGAACATTCAAAGGAACAGTAGCTAAGTATAGCTGTTGCTTCCTCTCTTCTCCATAGAGCACACGCGGAATCTTACGGGCTACAGTGCGGATCCGGCGTTCTTACAACGCATCACTTTCATCTGTGTCAACCATCATCCCTCCATCGAGCGACTGGACACCGTTCGTGCCTTCCACCTAGGCAGCAACTTCATGGTGGAGGTAAGCGCTTCTTGCTCCATCCAATCTGGTTCATGCTGCCCTTGTAGATGAATTAAATGGGACCGAGAATCGGGCTACTGTGCATGTCCTTTCATATTGGGATAGACAATTTTGCATTTATTTGATTTCGTGCTCAATGTGGGGTGTTTAGGCCGTGCAGAAGAAATGGATCAGATTGTGATTCGAACCGTCCCATGTCTTCTTTTTTGCGCCGGCAAAATCATGCGTTGTAAACGGACCTTACATAACTGCCAACTTAATTCCTGCCAAGCCACTAATTAGAATAGACTTAGTGCAACTCCTGTGTCCACGGCCACATTTCCCAATGGAGGTGGGTGGGCAGGCAGGCGGTGCGACGTGCGGATGCGTGATAGCTAGCAGGACAGCAAAGTTGTGCCGAACCTGTCAGGCATGCATGCAGCCACCTCCATGACCTTGGCCTCAGATGAACTATTAGGGCAATTGCAGGACATCGGCACATGATTACGGCCAGTCGGTACACGAGGTAGGCTATGGATTCCTACGTTGTTGAGGTACCGAACACGACAGTGTGATAATTTTTGTCGTTTTTATAAGCCATTGCAAGCAATCCTAGTGCCAAGGCGATTTTATCCAAGCACATTCGAGTCACTTTTGGATGTTTGAATGCTGCTATAAATAGGACATGATTTTTTTAATCGACACTACGTTACAGCGATTTAGCAGGTAATAGTAGCCCTAATACTTGAATCGAGATACCAGTTGCGATGCCTTTCAAGTAGTTTTCTTGTCAAATGGACCACAATGAACTGCTTTTCCCGTTCGCTGTATAATTATGCAAAGTTGCCACTTACACCCTGTCTAGCTTCAAAGACTCATCACTTAAGATACCACAGCTCACGTCATGGTATGACAGATACTGTCATTAAGCTGTTTTTTCGCGGATATATTAGGTTCACTCCGTAAACACCTCCCTGTGGGTAGAACCGCTTTAGCTTTTCTAGGTCTCAGAGCCTTTAAATGTTTGCTTTTATTTCTTCAAAGGATTTGAAAAAGTGTAGATGGGATTTCAGACGTTCTGGTTGTTGTGCTTTCGAGTTATGTTTGTCACCAGTTTTTGCACACAACAATGAGTTAGAACGGGGACTTTTAACTTGATGTTTGCAATGATCACTTAAAAGCTATGTTCAATTCGACTTCACATCTCCCCTAGGAACAGTCTTTCACTGGTACTTACCGTCTTTTGAAATTCTTGGTACATGTGCAGTTGACTGGGTAAACTGGGATGGTCTTGAATGAGCCTTACACTGCTCATTTCCCCATAATCTTGTGTCTAGTCAATGGCTCCTCAAGTGATAAGTTGTACTTTTGAAATCGTCACTTCTGCGTTCTTGTCTCTTTCCTTTACGCAGCATAAATAACTTGTTTTAGCACTTAGATTACAGCGGGGACCAAAGTCTCAGGGTTCTCCACTTGAATAGAGTTGCATTTTCATAAGAAGTTCAGTGCCATTGTTGCATATCATGTGCATTGGTTGTTTTTTGTTAGGCAACTCCTTTACGTCATGCTGGAGCTTGGTTTAAATACATGAACACCCTATCACCGATTTAAATTGCCGCCTAGTCTTGAGAGTGCAGATTCTCGTTGCTATTTCACCACCTTCTATAGTTTGAACTGTCCTCGACTTTCCATTGTTTGCATCATTAGCCATATCAACTTCCATTTTTAAGCGCTAGTATTTTATTTATATCATAGTTTTGCATTTTCTTAAACGTCGCTCTTGATATTCAGATTTTTCAGTGCTGAAGCAAGGACGAAATGCCGAAGCTGAAACGGTTTAGCGTTTGGAATATCATGGCTACTGAAGTATCCTAAGGCCTGTGTATTTCAATTGTGTTATAGAGTTCCTACCGGCGTGATGTTTCGAAGATTTAAAATCCTACAATTTTTATAAATACAATGGACAAAAATCGTGGCCAATAATTTGTTGGCAAATACACATCCTACTAGTTGCGCTAATAAGTAGGCAGTGGGTTGTGACTTCCATCATTTATTCAATATTGGGAAAATAATATTTTATTTGACCGTTTGGTCGTCCAGTTGTTTCTATCTACGGCGTAGTAGAAAATTCAGCATGTAAGCCTCACCGAAAAGGATCTGTCTTTCCTTACTTTTTTGGAGTTTGCTATGCTGCAGAAAGTTACGATAGCGTTCCTACTTCTGTTTCATTCTTTTACAGGTGGATATTGTTTTGCCACGTGATATGGATTTGCACAAAGCTCACGACATCGGAGAGTCGCTCCAACAGAAACTAGAGTCGTTAGACGAGGTAGAACGCGCCTTTGTCCACCTGGACTACGAGTTCGCCCATCATCCATTGACAGAGCACAAAGTTCAATAGCCGAGCTCTTGCCATCACAACCAACCCATTCTTTAATTTAATGTGCTCTTTATAAAAGCCGAAACTTAAACGATGAACGAACTTTATTTTATTACTCCGATTGCCTAACCTTACCAGGACCATGAATTTATCGCTATTAGTATTGAGTAACGTTTTCACTTTTTTCAGTGAGCTTTCCGCCTATTCTTTGGTCTAACCGATAACTCTGCCACAATTTCCTGGAAATATCAACTTCCTCCACTTTTGATCCGTCATCTTTATTATATTCTGTATAGGGGGTTTTCGTTTGGTATCATCTTTGTTTTGTCTGTCAATGCCCGCCAATTCCACATCTATTTTCTTCAGCTTTTCTACTTTTTCTAAACTTTGGTTCAGTCGACAAGAGCAAAATTTTTCGGGGGTTGGATTCTCGTGTAAAAGGTATGAGTGCTGTTGTTACGTCCACGGAAGACACCGGTTTGAGCAGAAGCGCAGTTTGATCAGTTTATGCAAGGAGCCTTTCAGACTTGCTGATTTATTGTGCTGTGCGCAATGAAGAGGTGGCGCGTGGTACACGTGGCGGGCTTTATTGAATCATGTGTGAAGATAGAAATCCTCGAATTTTTGTGCTGGTCTCGATTTTCCATTGGGAGGCGATTATAGGTGTGCGAATTTAAAAATGGTCTTGGTACTGACATGCAGGGACACGAACATGATCCAAGGATGGAGGAGGCCAGAAGGAAAGTCAGCGAAATGGCGAAAGGGAATTGCGATCATTGTCGCTGCTACATTCTGTACCTTAAATGCTCGTGCTTAGGGTTACTTCGGGCGGAGGCAAAACAATGTTTGTTAAAGTGCAAATACTCTACGAAAATAATAAACATTTTCACAGAATGGGGAGCCAAGTGAATGAACTTCACAACCAGCAACGTGTTTGGACGCCTCCTTTTGTCGAGCACACTGACCAGCCAAGAACAACGAACCCCTTTATCACCATTTACAGTGAACGAAATGCAGACCCATTCAACAGTGGTGTAAATGTAAGTAGGCTGAATGAAGTAGCGGTCCGAGGTGGCCCATACCCCTTGACTGCCGCCTAGCAACAGCACGACGAATGGGGCAGACGCGTAACTATGGGGAGACCAAGAGCTGCAGCTCGGATGAAATACTTGCCACAAACATTCACTCGTCAATCGCAAGAGCAACACCTATGCAGTCGGACAAAGCAAAGGTCGCACAAATCACACTCCGTGACCTCCATCCACCGTTCAACTGCAGTCGACTGCGTGAATTTGTGAACTGCATCTCAGGTGCGTGATTCATCCTTAAATACCAACTGCTGACAAAACCGTTACATCAAGCTTATTTAATGTAACAACAAACCTCCGATCTAATCACATCCGCAAGCAAGCAGACACTGCTGCAGCGTGTACTGCAAAATGACGCTTCTCATGCTTGTTGACCGTGGTGGTAGCCCACACACGTCACACATGTCGAGGCGTCTGATCCGAAAGTGTATCGCAAAGAGCAAGACGCAAAGCACGCTCACTCGCCGTGCCCCAAGAGGGAACAAACAGTTTACCAAAATGGCCTTACAAGTGGGGAACAGGGAGTGGGCCGATAGCGGATTGGAAAACACCTCCATCACTACATAGGACAGTAACTGACACCAACTACGAGC